TTCCCTCAGCCTGATCCCTGAGAACCAAAATCATATCAGACTGCCTACAATAAAAAGACTCTGCTGACCACAGAGGAGGTCTACAGGAAAAAAAAAAAAAAAGAAAAAAAAGACTCTACTACTTCACTGTCTTTATTAGCATTTTGTACTTTTCTTGACCTGCCCAAGCAAAGGGTTAGATTCCGAATTGCAGGAATTTCTCAGACCCATCAACTATTCAACAGAAAGTATCAAAAAAGCACCAATAGACAGTCTGCACCTTACAATTCTTTGAATCATATTATTTTGCAATAAAAGAGAATAAAGTGCTGATACATGCTGTAACATGCATGAACCATGAAAATATTACGCTAAGTGAAAGAACCCAGCCACAAGGGATCATATATCGTGTGCAGAGGTGCATGCCTGTATCAACTTGGGAGGCTGAGGTGGGAGAATCACTTGAGCCCAGAACTTTGAGACCAACCTGAGCAAAATAGCTAGACCCTGTCTCTAAGTTAAAAAAAAAGAAAGTGGCCAGGTGCAGTGGCTCACATCTGAATCCCAGCACTTTGGGAGGCTGAGGTGGACAGATCATCTGATGTCAGGGGTTTGAGACCAGCCTCACCAACATGGAAAAACCCTGTCTCTACTAAAGATGCAAAATTAGCCAGGCAGCATGGTGGCACATGCCTATAATCCCAGCTACTCAAGAAGCTGGCCCAGGAGAAACGCTTGAACCCAGGAGGCAGAGGTTGCGGTGAGCCGAGATCTCGCCATTGCACTCCAGCCTAGGCAAAAAAAAAAGTGAAACTCCATTCTCGGAAAAAAAAAAAAAGTAGATTGGTGACTGCCTAGTGGTAGTGGCCATGGGAAGGGTTTGGGTAAAGGGGGAGTGACTGCAAATGTGTAGGGGGTTTCTTTTTGTCATGAAAAATATGTTCTCAAATTTATTATAGTGATTGTTGCCCAACTCTGTGGATATACTAAAAACTACTGAATTGTATACTGTAGATAGGAGAATTATATGGTATGTGAATTACATCTCAAAGTTATTCTTTGAAAAAGTATTCTTTAAATCCTTCTAAAAATCCTTGCCTTGCTGTTTCCATCAATGCTAGACCATTGAGTGGGTCTCAGAAAACAATATTCTAAAGTATGGTGCTGGTATGGTTTGGCTTTGCGTCCCCACTCAAGCCTCATCTTGAATTGTAAACTCCACAGGGTAGGTGACTGGATCATGCTGTTCTCAGATAGTGAGTGAGTTCTCACAAGATCTGATGGTTTAAAACTGGCAGTTTCCCCTGTGCTCCCACTCTCTCCTGCTGCCATGTAAGACGTGCCTTGTTCAGAGAATAAATGCATGGGGGGAAAAAAAAAAAAAAAGACGTGCCTTGCTTCCCCTTTGCTTTCCACCATGATTGTAAGTTTCCTGAGGCCTCTCAGCCATGTGGAACTGTGAATCAGTTGAACCTCTTTCTTTATAAATAACCAGTCTCAGGTATTTCTTTATAGCAGTTTGAAAATGAACTAATGCAAGTGCTTTGGTATGTTGAGCACTTTTGAATCAAAAGAAATCAGAAGATCTGGCCAGGCAAAGGGGCTCATGCCTGTAATCCCAACACTTTGGGAGGCCAAGGCTGGCAAATCACAAGGTCAGGAGTTCAAAACCAGCCTGGCCAATATGGTGAAACCCTATCCCTACTAAAAATACAAAAAATTAGCTGAGCATAGTGGCAGGCACCTGTAATCCCAGCTACTCAGGAGGCTAAGGCAGGAGAATTGTGTGAACCTGGGAGGCAGAGGTTGCAGTGGGCCGAGATCGTGCCATTGCACTCCAGCCTTCCAGCCTGGGATACAAAGTGAAACTCCATCTCAAAAAAAAAAAAAAAAAAAGAAAGAAAGAAAGAAAGAAAAGAAATTAGAGATCTTAGAAGCTGCTTCAGAACTGAAGGCATTCTAACCTTCTCTTGTTCCTCCAGCCCACAGAGAAGGATTCTCTCTGGAATTTCTTTACCTGACTGAGGAAACTTCAACTTTTTCTTTTTTTTTTTTCTTTGAGACAGAGTCTTGCTCCACTGTCCAGCCTGGATTGCAGTGGCACGATCTCAGCTCACTGCAACCTCCGCCTCCTGGGTTTAAGCAATTCTTGTCCCTCAGCCTTCCAAGTAGCTGGGACCACAGGCAGGCACCTCCATGCCTGGCTAAATTTTTGTATTTTTAAATAGAGACAGGGTTTTGCCATGTTTTCCAGGATGGTCTCAAACTCCTGGCGTCAAGTGATCCTCCCACCTTGGCCTCCCAAATTTCTGGGATTACAGATGCGAACCACCACACCTGGCCTTACTGAAGAAATTTCTATCCAAAAGAACTGCAATTGTTTTAAGACCTCTTATCCTAGAAATGTCATTAAATAACCAGGAAAGATTAACCACCAGAAGAAATTTCTATCCAAAAGGACTGCAACTGTTTTAAGACCCCCTAGCCTAGGAATCTCAAGCAGGAAAGATTACCACAAAATCAAAGAGACTAAAAGTCATCACCATGCCTACACAGACTTGTCCCCTATTCTGAGGACAGCTCCAACAGTTTACCTGGGAGACATGATCTACGTAAGACAACACTTGTTCACAGTGCAGCTCTGCCCCTCGCCTTTCAAACATTTGCCGCCCACACCCCCAGAGCTCAAAGGAACTTTGTCCCAGGCCATTGTCTGTTCTTTGGGCTCATTAGGTTCCACTGAAAATCATTTACCACCCCTCAAAATCATTTATATATTTCCTTTTCCTCTCCCCCGTGAAGATGATTTTCTTTTTTCTTTCCTTCTTTTTCTTATTAAGTTTCATGTTACCTGTGCAGGATGTACAGGTTTGTTACATAAGTAAACATGTACCACGGTGGTTTGCTGCACCTATCAACCCATCACCTAGGTATTAAGCCCAGCATGCAACTTTTCTTATTTATTTATTTATTTATTTATTTATTATTTATTTATTGAGACAGGTCTTGCTGTGTTGCCTAGGCTGGTCCCCATTTCCTGGACCCAAGGAATCCTCTTGCCTCAATCTCTCAAGTTAGCTGAAAGAACAGGTGTATACCATCACACTCCCTGGAGAGGTTATTTAAGCTTCAACAATCTCATCCTTGTTTGAGTCTCATACTTTGTATGATTCCCATTCTTGATTGTGTGCTTTTCTCATGTTAACCTATTGTCAGTTAATTTCAGCAGAGTCAAACCTTTGTAGATGAGGGAAACACTCCCTTCATGCCTACAGTTGTATTATGATTTCTACTCAACCCTTATCAAGTACTCTGTATTGAAAGAAACGCCTTAAACCAAACTTCCAATTCTCAATAAAAAAATTTTTAATATTCAGTGGCTAGTTACAAGATCAATAAATTTTGGTCTTACTTTTCCCTTCTGAGATTGCCAAAGCTCTTTTCTTCCTTACTATGGTAAATAGTTAACACAGAATTGTCCTATCAACAGATTGGGTTGATAATGTTTGGGAAATGGCTATTAGTTTTTGTTTGTTTTGTTTTGTTTTGAGATGGAGTCTCGGTTTGTCACCCAGGTTGGAGTGCAATGGCGCAACCTTGGCTCACTGCAACCACTGCCTCCCAGGTTCAAGTGATTCTCTTGCCTTGGCCTCCCAAGTAGCTGGGATTACAGGCATGCACCACCATGCCTGGCTAATTTTTGTATTTTTAGTAGAGACAGGGTTTCACCATGTTGGCCAGGCTGGTCTTGAAATCCTGACTTCAGGTGATCCACCTGCCTCATCCTCCTGCTGTGATTACAGGCTTGAGCTACCATGCCCAGCCTTGTTGTTTTTTTTTTAACTATGTTAAAATACATATAACATAAAATTTTACCATTTTAACCAGTTTAAAGTGTATAGTTAAGTGGCATTAAGTATATCACATTGTTGTATAACCAGTGCTACTATCCATCTACAGAACTTTTCATCATCCCCAACTGAAAATCTGTAGCTACTAAATAATAACATCCTGTTATCCCCTTGCCCCAGCCCTGGGACACCACCATTGTACTTGCTGTCTCTATGAATTTGACTATTCTAGGTACCTTATGTAAAAGGAATCAAACAATATTTGTCCTTTTGTGTCTGGCTTCTTTCATTTTGCATAATATTTTCAAGGCTTATTCATTTTGTAGCATGGATCAGAATTTCTTTTTCAATTCCTTTGAGGCTTTATGGGATATTGTGAAATATATATTTGGTTTTTGTCCTGTCTCCTGTCATACAACTCCTAAAATCCTTGGAATCTCCAAAGTCACCAGTGTCTTTATGTATTCTAATGAGTTGACTGGTGACTGGGGAGCCCTGGGTAGCTTCAGGATGGGGGCTGGTCACTGGAAAGAACAAGGCATCATTAGAGGGTTGGGACTTTTAACCTCACCTCCAATCCTCTGGGAATGGGAGACCGGCTGAAGGTCAAGTTGATCATCCATGGCCAATTATTTAATCAATCATGCCTACACAATGAAACGTCTATAAAATCCCAAAACAGTTGGGTTCAGGGAGCTTCTGGAGAGCTAAACACATGGAGATTTCTGGAGGGTGGCATAACCAGAGAGGGCATGGAAACACCATGTGCCTTCCCCCATAACTCACCCCATGAATCTCTTTATCTGGATCCTTTGTAATATCCTTTATAATAAACCAGTAAATGTATTTCCCTGAGTTCTGAGAGTTGCTCTAGCAAATAAATCAAACCCATTGAGAGGGTTTTGGGAAGCCCAATTTATTGTTGATTGGTCAGAAGCACAGGTAAAACAATAAACAATATGGAACTTACAAATGGCATCAGAAGTAGTGGGCAGTCTTGTGGGAGTAAGCCCTCAACCTGTGGGATCTAATGCCTTCTCCAGGTAGACAGTGTCAGCATTGAACTGAATTAGAGGATAGTTAGCTGGTGTCAGCTGAAGACCCTGCTGCAGAACTAATTGATTGGTTCCTGGTGGAGAGAAATCTCCACTCATTTCTTGGGATCAGCGGTCACAGAAGTCTTTTATGGTGTGATGTGAGAGCAGAGGAAAAACAGTTTGCTTTTTCTACAGGCTGTAATTTCTTTAACGACGTTAAAGGCTTTGGGAATGCATGGTGGCTCACATCTATAACCTCAACACTTTGGGAGGCTGGGGCAGGAAAAATGCTTGGGGACAGAAGTTCAAAACCAGCCTTGTCAACATAGCAAAACCCTGTATCTACAAAAGAATAATTTAAACATTAGCTGGGACTACACACTTGTAGTCCCAGCTACTCAGGGGACTGAGGGAGGTGGATTGCTTAAGCCCAGGAGGTCGATGCTGCAGTGAGCCATGATTGTTCCACTAAACTCCAGCCTGGTTGACAGAGCAAGACTCTGTCTATAAATAAATAAATAAATGGCTTTAATTCCTTGAATAATATTCCATTATATGTATGTGCCACATTTCATCTCTCTATTCATTGTCCGTGGACACTTGGGTTGTTTCCACATTTTGGCTGTTGTACAAATGCTGCTACTGTGAACAGACACAAATATCTGTTTGAATTCCTCACTTTCACTTTTTTAGGGTATATATCTAAATATAGAATTGCTGGATCATATGATAATTCTATGTTTAATTTTTTGAGGAAGCATCATGCTGTTTTCTATAGTAGCTTCTCTATTTTCCATTCCCATCAGCGACGTACATGGGTTCCAATTTCTCCACATCCATGTCAATGCTTGTCATTTTCTGTTTTGTTTTTGTTGTTGTCATTGTTGTTTATCTACATAGTGACCATTCTAATGGGAGTGAAGTGGTAACTCATTGTGGTTTCGATTTGCATTTCTCTAATAATTAGTAGTGTTGAGCAGCTTTTAATCTGTTTATTGGTCATTACTGGAGAAATGTCTATTCAAGTCATTTGCCCATTTTTGAATCTGGTTGTTTTTTGTTGTAAGTTGTGAGAGTTCTTTATATATTCTGGATAGTAACCCCTTACCAGACACATGATTTGCAAACATTTTCTCTCATTCCATAGGTTGTCTTTTCTGTTGATAGTGTCCTTTGATGCACATCTTAAATTATGATGTAGTTCAATTTATCTATTTTTGTTGTTGCTGCCTATTCTTTTCATGTCCAATCTAAAAATTATTGTAGAATCCTATGTCATGAAGTTTTTACTTCACATTTTCTTCTTAGAGCTTTAAAATTTGAACTCTTGAATTTAGATCTTTAGTTCACTTCGACTTTTGATCTTTCTTTTTCTTTTTGAGATAGGGTCTCATTCTGTCATCCATACTGGGGTACAGTGGCGTGATCTCAGCTCACTGCAACCTCCACCTCCCTGGTGCAGATCTTCCCACCTCAGCCTCCCAAGCTGCTGGGACTACAGGTGCACATCACCACACCTGGATAATTTTTTTTTTTTTTTTGTAGAGATGGAGTTTTACAATGTTGCCCAGAATGGTCTCGAACTCCTGACTTCAAGTGATCTGCCCATATCTGCCTACCTCAGCCTCTGAAAATGCTGGGATTACAGGCATGAACCACCATGCCTGGCCTGAGAAGTCAGCTTTTAACAGAACTTTTTTCTTTTTAGATACATGTATAGCCAATAATTCAGATATTTTAACTTAGTAGTCTGATACCAAACCACAGTTTAACTACTACAAAAGAAACTGTGCCAAGTGTCTAAGCATAGAACTTCAGTTGTGCAAAAATTATGAGTAAGAATTTTACTGACATGTCATTAAAGAACTAATATATAAAATAATATTTTAAATATGTTTAAAATGTTGTCAACATTATGACTTATACATTATTAGTATTATTTTCGAGACAGAGTCTCACTCTGCTGCCCAGACTGCAGTGCAGCAGCATGATCTCAGCTCACTGCAATCTCTGCTTACTGGGTTCAAGTAATTCTCCTGTCTCATCCTCCCAAGTTGCTGGGACTACAGGCACACGCCACCATGCCCAGCTAATTTTTGTACATATATATATTTTTTTTTTTTTTAATTAGTAGAGATGGGGTTTCACCATATTGGTCAAGCTGATCTCGAACTCCTGACCTCAGGTGATCCACCTGCCTCGGCCTACCAAAGTGCTGGGATTACAGGTGTGAGCCACTGTTCCTGGCCAACTTATATATTATAACTTGAATCACGGTATGTCCAAATCTATGTAATAATGATTCATACCATAAAAAAATCCCCATTCCTCACAATATTTTGTTCCTCACAGGAAGATAGGTCTGTGTTTCCAATAATCTTCACCTTAACAGCTCATAGGCCCTTCAATTCAACCGTATTTATACCTCAACTCATGATCTTTGGACTCCTCTATTCTATTCTAGTCCATCTTTTCTTTAATTTTTGAAACAAAAATCTGATCTCATTCTCTCACTGGTTCAAATGTTTTAATGTGAAGGTCAGGAAATGACTAAATTGAGCTTGCAGAAATATTTTGTTTGGACTTTAGTTTTTCCAACATTGAAAAATCAGGAAATTTCTTGTAAAAATCCTGATTTCTGGACTCTCTTGAAGAATCTGATTGTCTTGCAACATGTCCTGCATTGCCATGTGGCCACAACTACCTGCATCTCCATCCAGTTAACCTGCTCTGGGGCCTACAAACATCTGACTTTACACACAATTCTCTAAGGGCTCATTGAGGCCTGCAGTACAGTCAGGACAAAATTGATTCCTTAGGCAACAATGAGATTAGTGAACTAAATGTCCACACATCAACCTGACACATCTTCAAAACACTGCTAATGTAAAAAAGTAAGAAACAAACTGAGCTCTATAGCACATAATTTATATAAATTAAAAATATATACATATTATAAACGAGTTCACATTTCCCAAGAAGATATTCCAATAAAATGGACATATATCATACACATTGGAACATTTTACACGTAAGGACACAGAAAGGGGGCGGAGTGTACTAGGAACTGAGAAGTGCTGTTAACTCAATCAGATGGAACTGATATCCTCCAAAAAAGTGGGGGAAAAACGAAGTTGAAAACTTTTTTTTTTTGAGACAGAATCTTGCTCTGAATGAATAATGTATTTTTCATTTTAGACATTCTACTTTAAGTCTCTAATTCAATTTGGACCTTTAAAAATATCTTCCAGTCTATTTAACTTGCTCAGTTTTTCTCTACATTATTAAGTGTATGAAATACAGTTACAGTAACTCTTTTATGCCTTTATTGAGTTAACATATCATTTGTGTCATTTATGGATCTGTTTCTAATGACTGATTATATGTCATATTTTCCTGCTTTATTCCATGTCTGGTCATTTTTGGTTGAATGTAAGATACTGTGAATGTTTTCTTGTTAGGAGTTGGATATTTTTATATTCATATACATATTCTTGAGCTTTTTTTACAGGGATACAGTTAACTTGCTTGGAACACTTTGGCACTTTGAAGGATGGGGAGGATGTTTAAATTCTGTTAGGTAGGACCAGAGCAGCCTTTATTACAGGACTAACTTTTCCCAGTATTGAGGAAATACTCTTTTAGGAATTATTTTAATCAATGTCCTTTAATAATTTTTTATATATACATAATTGTGGCTCCTTCCTGTAATCCCAGAACTTTGGGAGGCTGAGGCAGGCAGATTGCTTGAGCCCAGGAGTTCAAGACCAGCTTATGCAACATGGTGAAGCTCTGTCTCTACAAATAATACAAAAATTAGCCGAATATGGTGGCCCACACCTATAGTCTCAGCAACTCAGGGTACCAAGGTGGGAGGACTGCTTGAGCCTGGAAGGTCAAGGCTACAGTGAGCCGCTTCATGCTACTGCACTCCAGCCTGGGTTACAGAGTGAAACCCTGTTTAAATAATTATAATTAATGTATACAATTATTACACATAATTATAACATATCTATTTCCACTTTGGCTTGTGGAAATGCGAAATATTCCTAGTTCTTTGAGAAATTTAGGAATTATTTCTTTGAATTATTTTAGTGTTTCTTCCTCAAACTAAGGTAGTTTCCTCATATGCATACACTGCTGTATACTCAACTGAAGACATGATCTTGGAGCCTCCACAGCTGTCTCTGTACTCTTTCCTCTTCAGCATTCTGCCCTGCAAACTCAAGCCACCTTTGCCTCCTAAGACTCCCAATTCCATTTTGTAAATTTAGGGAGACTGCTAGACTCCACCTGGGTTTCCACTCTCTGGGCTGCATCCTCCATACAGTAAGATGGGGCAGAAATAGGGCTCATCTCATTTGTTTCTCCCATCTCAGGGATCACTGTCCTTCATTACCTGATATCCAATATCTGAAAACTATTATTTCATGTATGTTGTCTGGTTTTTGTAGCTGTTTCCTGTGGGAGGGTAAATCTTGTCTCTGTTATTACATCATGGCCACAAGAAGAAGATACCCTCATACATAATTTAATTTGATTCTCAGCATTACTCTGGGGCAGATAATATTATTACTGATGAAGATTTGAAGCTTGGAGAAATTAAATAACCTTTCCTAAAGGCTTGCACAGTATATGATGCCAGGGCACTAAAACAACGTAAACCACACTTCATCTTAGCCAAAAGGCCGAGAAGAGATAAAAACAATGTAAACCAAACCAAACCTAAACAAAAGACACAAAGCCTTTCTGATGAAAAGTAAAATGGCAAATCAAGGATGATAACAAAAATCCTTTTACTCCAGGCACTTTACCCTTTCTGCTTTTATCACTGCCTCAGAGCACAGTAAGACTACCTATATAGCAAAAACATGGAGGGCTGGTTTGAAGTGTAAATGTCTGTGTTCCATCCCTGATATACTAAATCAAAATATCTGCTGTCGATCCTTAGAATCTGCATTTCTAATAAATTCCATACCCCTTGCCTTAAGACATAGAAAAGTGTCCACAGAACTTTTTATTTTATCTCTCTCAAATCTCATTGAGAATCTTCCTGTAGATTGTCATCCTGGTTTCTTCAACTTTCCTTTGTTTCTGGATCTTTCCTTTTATAAAAATATTCCATTTTCTACCAGCTTAAAAA